CTGTGCTTTTTTAGCTTCATTATTATTGGGCATTTCGAACTTTTCTGCACTAAAGCATGGAGCTTGAGGCAATAAACGTTTTCAAGATAAGCCATGCATTTCAGTGCAGTTCAGGGTCATTGAGGCATTTGAGTGCGCAGTAGCCACTTCATGCACAAATCGTAATTTTTACCTCTCCTATGAGTTTGGCCAGTTAGACAACACCAGAGGGATCAAGGCTTAGTTTACCTAGGCAGGATCCGATCCAAGAGTTGATTCCCACACTGTGAGCTTGGTAAGCGGCTATTCTGTTGCAACGCCTTCACCCATGATAATGGTTTACCCATGATAATGTTTTTCCATAATGACTGTAAAATATTCAGTAGAAATTCTTTCTTTCCAGCATAGCTTCACTGATACCTGATAAAAAAGCGGACCCATATGCAGACATTTAGTCGGGACGTTTTCTGACTTATAGGTTTGACAGGCGCAATAGGAAAACTGAAAACTGATTGCTACATAGGTTGCGTTTCATCAATGGAACATGTAGGAAGTATGAGAAGAGTACAAAGTCGTTTTTCATGGACAGTTTCTCATTCCTGTCTGACTTTTCATGGCCAAAATGGGAGAACCATTAGCGAAGAAGGAGAAACCCCGTTTCGACTTCACTTCTGAACTATCACCAGAAGAAAGTCATATGTTGGCAATAATCCTGCTCATCACACGCCATCCATGTTTTCATGCTGTCTTGAGTAATGCGTAGGCCAATCTGATGTTTTACTACTGCTGGCCTTTCTTTGTATTTTATTTCGCCCAGACAAGTCGTTTCACAGGCCAAATCGCATGCTGCTGCTACGATTGTGAAGCAAAGTTGACTGCGTGGCGCATTCCAAAGATGGACCGATCAACGCTGTGTAACTTATCCTATGCTTTTATGATTGAAAAATTCAGTAGTCGCTCCACAATGCTTTTCAAGAGTAGACTTTCTTGTGCCAGCAATGGCCACGTTTGCATGTCTAAAAAGAGTAAGTGATAAAGCGCTGATAACAGCGACCGTCATTTGACACCTGGCTCACAATGATTGGTTTGCAACTGCTTCACGACCTCGTGCAAATCATCTTACACCACTTCTTTTTGTTACTTTTTTCACTGAAATTTTTACTAATAATGATTCTCCATAGTTTTCTACGTTTTGCATGGTCCGTGGTGTTGAAGGTGTGACGTTAGGTCTGGTTTTTGGTCGCACCGTTATGTCACGAAAATTCTCCAAACGAGATGCACATGTGCGAACTGGAAAATAAGTTCTTTCAAGGGGAGAAGCCAATAGGCGATTTTTTTATATCGATTTTTCGGAAGTAGGTTGTGTGTTTGCTATCGTTTTTTTCAGAGCCGCGTCAAGCTGCTTTAGAAATCGTTAAAGTGGCGAAAAATGATTCAGTGATAGAGTTCAGTGTCCCATTGCGATCAGAGTCAATCGTATAACTTCGTATAATGTATGCTATACGACCCCCATTGGGAGTCGAGCGTCCTCGAGACTCTGCTCTGCTCGCGCTTAACCTGCCGTCGAGGGTCAAATACTATCGAATCTGAACAACTTTGCATCCTGTTAATCGGTCAGGCAGAAATAATCTCGACTCATTATGGGCCTGCACTTCGCAAGACATTGTATATGCTGAAACGCACTGAAATATCACCAAATTCGCAGTGAAAGAAAGCCGCGTGGCGCATCCAAAGGAAAATCAATGTCAGCCTCGATGTCCTGGTAACTTATTCTCAGAATGTGTTCAAGAGCCAGTAAGCCATTGAATTTTATGTGAATAGTGGCTTTGCGAGTGTTCCTAATCCGGTTAAGGAGATGGAAATCATTCAATTTCCCTGAGGACTATTTTAACACTTTGGAGACCGCGCGTGTTTTACGTTCCGCGGCCGCGCGGGACTTCGGTGAGATTTTTAGGGATCTTATCTAGCAAATTCAAAAGAAGAACCCACTGTGTAATGCAGAAGAAATCTTATCGGATAAAATGGAAAAGAAAATGAATGAAAAACCTAATAATTGTTTCCGAAATGCGAGCTGAAAGGTCCTATGCGGTCGAGGGCTGCAGCCCACATATGGGCTGCGTGGGCTCCAAGGTGTTAATATTTTTTTAGATCATAAATTTTTATGGTTTCCTTATATTTCTGTATATACACTACCGTTACTGAAATGTTTCGTTTTCTGAAATGAGTTGAAAAAAATGAAGTGCAATTGATCAAACTGAACTACATAATTAATCGATGTTTTTATCAGCCATCGGTGATAACTACGATTAAAATAATTTTTGATTTTGATTTGAATTCTTTTTCAGCATGTCGATACCATTTTTGCGTAAAAGCTCGTTGTGTATGAGCATGGACGGCGGTAACACATCACTGCTGCATTTTGGCGACATCATCTCGCTCTACACAGAGGAAACCGCTGATCTGCGAGGTTTCCTGAGCACACTAGGGTCTGTAATTTTCAGAGTTCTTCTTAGTTTTTTTTTCATTTGAATTAGTTTATTCATTTTTGTGTGTTGATGACATCGTCTTTGAATAAGGAGTTACTTGAAAGAAGTGGGCGTGGCCAGTTAGGTGGGGTGTGGCCAGACTCTTTTCGGACGGATTTCATGAGAGCTCACGGGAGCACCCGCCTCGTCTCAAATTGTTGTCGAATCAGACGGTCTGTGGGTTTCAACTTTATTTCTGATCTTTCTTATTTGAATTCTTTTTGCACGAACACTATTTTTTTGATTTGGTTGTTTGTTGAAACCTTGCATCATTGTTGGTTATTGATTTATTAGAAAAAAGTGGCGCTCATCCGGTAAGGGGGGGGGGCATTGTGATGCAACGTCTAATAGCTGCCCTCCCCCCACCCCCCTGAACTGGCTTCACTCCCCCTGGCTCACGGGGTCCCGTACTTCGAGAAACCTGTGCGCCAGGGGGAGTGTAGGCAGTCTAGGGGGGTGGGGGTGAGGGCAGCCACTTGATGCCCCCCTTACTGGGATTTTATTTCTATGAGCGGTGTAATTGATTATTCATTCAATCGCAACAACTTGCTGCCGTTTTCATTGAGCAGAGTTCTCTTAGCACCTTTGCAGGGAATTGACTTTACACATTATTTTCCTGTTTTCAAGTAATTTTTCATCTCCTACTTCATCGAACTCGTCTGCTGGTGAACGTTCCGAAATGAGCCCATCCAATCACTTATATCGACGAAACCAGACAGTGGCTTGAGAAATGCCCGTAACCTACGAACAAACCCACATATTTCTCGCGCAAGACCTTCGTTCCGTCCAGAAATCCTATCTATGCCTCAGAGGAATCTTGAAATCTGAAGCCCTCGGCTGGCCCAAGAGAACCTTAAAATCATTAGGAAACAGATTTTGCTCATAATGTTGACCGCTAGTGTTGCAACCGGTTGAAATGGGGATCCATAAGTTTGCACAGGATGTCCCAAAATTTCCATGGCAGGACATCCGCCTACAAAGTTGCGAATGGCTTTCGCGTCAATATAAAGACAGAAAATTTCAAAAAAATGGGATTTGACAAGTCAGGAACTCCAACCTCGTTACTGTGAGGTCATAAAAACTGTAAATAATTCAATTTTCAGTCTGGTCGACGACCGCTGTATAGTGGAATTACGCGATGGGCGACCTGAAAGTCCGCCGAAGAAGTTTAGAGGTAATTACATTTAAGCAGTTCTCTAATCCATTGCGACCGCCGTTGTGCAGGTATTGTGGTAACTGTTTTACGTAGTTTCTCATCAACAGTTAGTAAAACATCGAGGATTTTTAATTGTAATCACCCAATTTCCGGTAGATAAGCCCGCGCCGATATCACGTAAAACACCTCCGCTCGTGCAGTGTAATTTTGTACACCTTAGAAACTACCGTAAATTTGCCTATAGAGGTAATTCGATGAGGAACTGATTGACATTAACGTTGATCGGCGCATATTTCTCGGTTGGAGAGCGCAGACGAGCAGAAAATAGGCGCCAAATAGCGCCAGCGCCGAGAATGAATGTCATATTCGTAATCAGGACACCAAATAACCCCTATACGGAAGTTTACACCAAATTTGGTGAAAACAGGTGTCGTGACAAGGTGCCAACTGGCGCCAGATGGCGCCACCGCTAAAAATGAATGTCGTTTTCGTAATCAGCATATCGAATTACCCCTATGGGCAAGTTACGGTTGTCTCTAGATGTACGCAAGTGCACTGCACCAGCGGAGGTGTTTTTACGTGATATCGGCGCGGGCTTATCTACCGGAAATTAGGGTAATAAACAAATTGTTATTCGGACTTAATAATTATATGGGCTGTTTTAGAACACGAAAAAAAACGCTAATATACGGAGCAAAACTAGTTTGCTTCGGGTGAGCGTGTGGCATGACGTGATTTCACACGGTCGTCGACGGATTATATTTTTTTCTTGTGGTTTACATTTTTAAAGCAACAGTCCAGCAGGGTTTCAACCATTCGATCCTAAGGGGTGGAAACATGCACTAGCCCTAGTCAAGTACATAGGAAATGTCACTGATTTGAAAACTTACCTTTGAAAGGCGTTGGAAGGGGTCTAACGCCGTCGAAGTGGGCGGATCCACCGAGCCTCGGTACGGCCGCCCACTTCTGTCGTGAAGAGTGCGTGATTGGCTGCGCAGACATTTGCGGTCGTTTCGGGACCACCGGGACTATTTGAGGTCGATCCTTTAAAGCAATCGATGTGGTGATGCCGACTACGCTGGATTTCTACGTTTTTTCCTTCTACCACTGCGTTTCATAATTATAGGTCCACCCTAAATTTTTGCTACCCCAAAGTTGCTGTGCATTTTTTGGAAATGCTGCTATCACCGTTAGATTCCTCATCACGGAAAACCTTCATAGTGTTTTTCTGACAAATTCCCCCTCAAAGTAACCCAATTAACTTTTTTAGAACGAATTTTCACCGTTTCATGAATATCGGGCCACTCATAAAAAGTTTCCATTTCTCACGATCCGTGAAGGGAATCAGGGAAGCGGGGAAATATGTGGGCTCAGTCGACATCGAGTTTACCATACCTCGTGTTATTCGCCTCTCTTCCCAGTAACAAGCTCAAGCTAGAGCACTTACTGAAGTGGGATAGCTGAGGAGCAGAATTTCCTCCCATGTCGGCCGGCTCATACTGCATAAGCGACTATGTGCAAAATCCTGGTCAGTGCGGAGAGAAGAGTCGCTTAGGTAAATAAAGACTGCGTTTCCTTCAAAATTTAGGAGGAATTGGGTGTCTTCTCTCGAATTATACAAGGAGTCCGAACAAAGTCCGTACTGAAATGCGGCCTTCCGTGAGCAAAACCACCGTGTGGTGAGTAAGCCAGCAGAGCAATAACATCTTCAACGGATTGATGAAGAGCGTTCCAAGATTATTTGAGCGCTACAAGATCGCAAGTCTCCATTTCTCCGTGGAAAAGGGCTCAACTTAATGAGCGATGGTGTGGCTGTTAAGACCCTTCGCGATCTTGGACTCTACCTCCTTGTTTCGTTCTACAGGTGGTCTGAGATCGACGTGGAAAAGTTTATTCTAGGTGGATATGGCAGAAAAAGAGGGTACAGGATGATCGCGTGAAAATCGCAGATGGTTTCAATGTAACGTAATTTCGGCGGTGAATCCCTTATGGTTTGAGGCACCTTTGAACGACTGAGTAGCTAGAGCTCGCTTTTGTTTCCGTTCACAAAGATTCCACAGGGTATCGTGAAGTTCTTTCGAAGCGAGTCTTACCATTTTTTCAACAAGGATCCCCTCTATCCTTGATTTTCACACACGATAACGCGGCTGTCCATGCCGGTCCCTCCGCGCCAGATGGAATTGCAGGAAAAAATGTGGCAGTTATCTGGTGGCCACCATGTTATCTGAATTAGATTCCAATAGAGAATCATTGGGCCTTAATTGTTATAAAGTTCCACAGCAAAGTAAAGCAAAATGGAACAGCCGAAAAGCTGAAAAGGTCGATCATCGGCGCCCAGACGAATTTCGATCCTACTGTAATAGCTAATTTGGCTACCAGCATTTCAAAACGTATTATTGTGTTCCTTATGATTATTGGGGGGTCATCCCATTATTGAAAATTCGTGACGTTTTTTCGTTATAGTAAAATCTCTCGACAAGTGATGTGTAGTCATATTTGCGAAACGGTGAAAATACGTTCTAAGGAAGATATTTTAATAATTCTGAATCGAGATTTCTCCAGAAATCAAGTATCAAGGTTTTTCGTTATGGGGAAACTATTGGTAATAGCGGCATTTTCCAAAAATGCACAGCAACTTTGGAATAGCAAAAAATTAGGGTGGACCTATATTATGAAACGCAGTGTATATTTAGGTGAAATCGGTGTGAGCTTATCTACCGGAAATAAGGGTTGTTTAGGCAC